ATATAACATACGAATTATATGCTACTAATAATATTTCACCATTTTGTGAAAACACTTTATAAATTTAAGGGTATCATTTAAATATCTCATAATATTCAAGCAAAAACAATGGACAAGAAAAAATAAGTCTCTTTAGATTTGATGTATCTTCTCAGCTTAATTAACACAAGCTTTCCCTGTTTTAATTCACACTTAAGAAGCAGGAATTTTACTCAATTTGCTAATTACTACCTTTTCAAGCTGTTCTCCTGAAATAGATGGCAGCCTATCACACTATGAACCCAAATTTATGTAGTTACCTCGAATTACGTAATTGTCCAAAGCCTCTTCCATTCTTTTCAGTGCTTCAGCTCTATTAGAGCCATAGGTAATCAGCTAAAGAAGTAAAAAAAGGTATTTAAGTTACCTAACTTCTGCAGTCACAATAACATTTCCCACACATCACTGTATCTGCGTTTCAGAGGCCCTCTAAAACATGAAGAGAAAACTAAAATTTCTTAACCCATTCAATCAAAGAAGGCCAATCACTTCTCCTTCATAAAACTTAAAACATCTAAACAAGCCACCTTCTTTAAGGTGTACAGAAAATTAGAGCAGAGGTTCAGTATCTAGTTGAGTCTCTTGACTTCAAATGCCCCATCAACACCTAATATATAAGTGCAAATTTTTTTGACAAGTGAACTCTGGCTGTCATGTCCTATTTTAATTTTACCAATATGTTACTGATGAACAGAAACTAACAATAAGACACTATCAACAATTTCTTTCATTCCTTATTTTTGGAAGCAAGAATTATTGAAATTTTAGTTTTTGGCTAGGTTACATCAAAAAAAGATAGACTGGCGGTATCTAAGTCTGAAAGTAATAGTTTCTGTTTAAATCAATCTTTTTAGTGATCAGGAGCTGCAGGACAAATAACCATCAAGTCAAAAGATTAAAAAATATTGTTTAGAAGTGAAAATAGAAGTTCCTCTACTCCACATCTTCCTTCACTTCTTTCACATTATGGCTAGCAACTTTAAAATACTGATTTACTAATCCTTGAATATAATCTCTCTCATTGAAAAGATCCCTGTTTAAAATACCCTGTTTCATACCTTTAGAATATTGAAAAATAATCATCAACTCACTTTTGAGATCATAGGATCATAATAAATGCTAATATCACTTCCTTGTTGTATGCCACTGTCAACGCGCACCTTCAAAAAATAAGAAGTAAAAGTAATCATATATTAGGAAGAAAATGAAATATTTCAATGTGAGGATGAAATCTATCCAGCAGGCTTAAAACATAACACCCATGAAGATTATCGCATAATTTTTTCCCCTTGAAAGACTAGAATAATTATTTGTTTTTAGAGAAGCTGGAAGCAGGGAAGGGGAGCTTTTTTCTCCACCAGGAAAAATTTTTGCAAGTTTTTCTCTCCTTTAAAAGAAACACAACTTCAGCTGATAGTAAAAATTCTCTTTTGTTCTCCTAGAACACACAGTGAACGCATTAAATTCGATCTACCAACAGTGGTTCGGTCACACACTCTAGACTCCAGCTCGGAACGTATCCAATTCTGATTTAATCCCTGTAATAAAATACACTTGTAATTATTTTTCTGACTGACACCTGACATGAAGGACAGCCCTTACAATCACATCCTTTCTGCATCTATATGTAATCACGTCCCCCATGTTCTGCTCCAGCCTTTCCGAGGGCTCCGGTAGGAACACGAGTAGGGAGCATTCAGTGGGAACTTTGGAGCTCTGCTTATCAGCTCCGTAGGAAGACTGATCCTGTGGTTTTCATGTCTGTAACACTTTCCTTCTCTGCCTCACCCTCTCAACTGTAAAACATTTTTTATTTCTTTTCTGTTGCTGCTGTTCCCCTGAGGCTTTAATGTTTACACAGCTTTTTCCATGGCTTTGCTTTGTAAGGACACAGCCCCAATTAAAGCTCTGATTCTGCAATATTCATGGAAAAAAAATAACACAAGTTCAAAAATTTCTTTTGAAGAGGCTGATTGCTGTTAACCAGCCAACAAGTCAGTTAGTATATTGCTGATTCTTGTTTTCATCTCTCAGTTTGATTTCATCACTGTAGCAATGAGGTTAGCCATACAAAACTTTTCAAATGAGCAATTTCTGGGGAATAAATATTTATTAAATTGCCGCTTTTGAGTGCTGGAATCTGAAATATTTTTTAAAAACTAATCAAAATAAGAGTGATAAACGCACTCAGGGGTTCATAAGGATGGAGGGCTCTAATCAAAGCTGTTGAAGCAGCAGGGCTCCGATACACCGCACTGTAAAAGGGGTGGGAAAGAGGGTCCTGGAATCTCACTAAAATCTTCACCTGTGGGAAGGAACCTTTGTAATAAACAGCAGCTCATCTGTCTGCAGCAAGGCAGAAAAAGGTCAATGCAACGGCTGTTAGGCCTTTAATATTTTAATTTAGGCAATTATCAAGGGACCACATGTAGAACCTCTTGTCTACAGAATCCACATGAGGGCACGATGATGACTTTATTATCCAAATGACATAAAAAGATACCCTAGGCAGGTGTACTCGCTTTCTTCAGTAAAAATCACTGACTAGTTTTTCTGACCTTATTTTTTTTTAAAGTACTTATTCATGTTTGTAATTACATATTTACACCTACACATTTATATATTACTTCTTACATATTTCTGTTTATCTGTATAGCATATTATTATTCATATGTAAAGGCACTTCTGTAGCATTTTTACATCTTATCCGAGTGTGCTTTATCTCTGCTTAACCAGGCCCCCTGCTACCCATATCAGGTACATTTAACAGCAGCTACTGATGAGCAGGTAGTTCAGACATATCATGATTACAGACAAAACATGCAGCGTATTTCCCAGTTCCCCTTCTTGTAACTCCTAAACCATCCTTCCTCCCATGCAGGAAGTCAACACATACATTCTCATATTCAAAAGAATTCACATACTCAGCCTCAGATAAATCCCTTGCACATGATATTTTTTGTAATACTCCACAAATATATACATATAAAAAATATATCTATATAACGCATGGAGGTATTGCATACGTACTCCACACATACTTGAATTATACTACGACTTTTGTCTCCAAAGTAGGACCTACAAAGTGACTGCATACAAGTGTTCAGATGTGCCTTCCATATGTATACATGTGCATATAAGTATTTATACTGGTAAACCATATTTTGACAAAGAAAAAAAACATGCAAAAGGTGCATAGTTCAGACTCACAGTAAGCAGGTTAGTCAGACCTTAAAGTTCATGTCGGGCTTCTGAGGCTACCAAATACATGCTCCACCTGCTTTATGTTTCTGTTCATATACCACGATATAATTTGTTCTCACTTCTAAGTACAATATCTTAAAAATTGAAGAAGTTACAGTGAGAACTTAAAATTCTTTTAAAACTACTGTGTCATATCCTTTTTTAAAAAAATAAAAATCTGGAGTCCTCTGTAGAAATTTTCACAAAATAAACTCAAGATGACTAAAACAAAAAAATGACAGCAGAAAAATATATTTACCATCTTCACTTCTCCCTGTGATGCTTCTATTTTCAGTGTCTGGTAACAGTAGGTGATTTTATAAACTATATGGTGTGACAGAACTTAATGAATATTGGATGAAAAAGAAATCCTAATTCAACAGATACTTGCTATAATGTGCTTAACTTGATAAATAATAGCAATACTTATGAGACCTCCAGCATTTACTTCCACTTAACACATTTCCTTTCTTTTACTCAGTATTTAAAATATCAAACAAAGGCTAGGATTCAAGACCCTACTGTATCCTACAGATAACTGGTATTACAGCCCCAGCACTTTTATTGTTCTTGTACTACCACTGTGTGTTATTTCACTAGGGCAACAGTAAACTGAAAGACAAAAAAGCTTAGAAGGTGAACAACAAAAACAACCGCAATAAAAAAAAAAAAGCACAATCTATATCCCAGTCTTGCAATTAGTGGATCAAATTCCACTTCCCAAGATATAAAGGTTCTAGAATTTCTCAGTTCTTTGCCCTATCAGAATCTAATCGGGTAAGAGTCATTAAAAGACCAAATTGATCTTTTAATTAATTAAAAGACCATTCTGGCACAGAGCAATGCTGGAGCTCTTCAGATCATGCTAAGGTTGCACAAGAGCACTGAACAAGAACACTCACCATCATAATATGGGGTTTTGTGGTTACTTATCTGAAGCTTCATATCAGAGATGGAAACAAATTTGGTATTTACGAGTCCCATGTTCCAAGGAAATTACAGGCTACTGGATACAGAGATATCCAGTACACTCCTATCTAAAAGGAGGGTGGCGGGGGGGAGAGGAACACCAAAACCCAAACAACCCACAACTCACTCAGCCATGCACAGCAGTTTCATCAGCTTGAGCAGCCAACACACAGCCACAAGTAGACAATCGAAGCTAACAAGACACAGAAGAAATGAATTGAAAAACGTATTTGACAATAGACTATTCGCAAGCTGAATTCTCTGTGACGCATGGTGAGTCTCCATGAAGTTTTTTTTAAGCCAACTTGTTGGCAATTCCAAAATCTAAAACGCAGAAAGCCAACGCTGTCGCACAACGGGCCTGTAACACTGAACTTTTTTAGGCATATTAATTTTGTTCTTAGCAGCATGACGTTCTGAGGTGAGAAATCAGTTTCACGGTGGCAGAAAATATGTATTAAGACACCAAACCATGAGTGTCTACATAAAAATAGAGGTTCTATTTTTAATACAACAACAGAAGCAAACAGAAAGAGAACAGCCTCGGCACCCCATATGAGCTCCTCCAAAACATTGCTCTGAAGCCTCCAGCGTAATTAAAATTTCTTTCCTCGGTACCACGAAGGACCACGTGAAACAATCAGGCATCTCCCACCCTTCATTTTCAATTCACCTCTCCCCCTAAGCACAACTCCCAACCCACCCCGTCTACCTGACAAGTGACAGCCCAATCTGATTAAATGCTTGCAAGGGAGGGGACTCATGGGCCTCCATGACAGGCCAAAAGTGATCACCATGGAGATACATAATTACAGCTGTCAACGCATCTACTGTCCTGCTGGCATCAATTTGATTGCTCCCAGCAATAATGATAGACAGAGCTTAGTGTGCACTCTCCTGCACCCAATCACTTTATCTATTCCGTGGTCCATTTAGCTGACATGCAACATTCACACAAGCAAATAACAGCAGTAAGCAGAACATTTAAGGCATTTTAATTGTTTTTTCTTTGTACGGATGGCTCACGAGCACAAATGTTATTACATAAAACTCCTGCTGCAGCATTAATTGAAGAAAGATTTGGTGGGGCAAAGACTGTAGGGGGTACAGTTTGTCCATTATCACTTGTACTTTCAACAGGTCTCACGTTTGGAAAATTGCAAATTGCAAAAACTTGCAAGGGCAAAATGTTTGACATCCTGTTAGCTATTACAACCTGGTGAAAACTTCTAACAACCACTGGAGTACTCATTATAAATTCTTATTAAATACACTCTATGTTTCATTAAAAAAAAAAGTTTAGATACATCCAATGATACCGTTTTCCCCTCATCTCCTCTTTAAGATCACATAACGCTGTTAGATCTTCACAAATTTTTTTTTCTGCTTTCAAGCTTTGAACACAGCTTGAAGCCTTAAAGACCAGAAAGGGTCAGGTCCCTTCGGCAAGTACACGGGCAAAAACAATTTAAGAGGTGAAATAAATCATATATCCAATAACATCTCCACATTTAAGATTCCTCCTGTAATCTTTCACTATTTTCCATGCCAGCAATCAGACTGAACAAACATATTCACAGATGCTAAAGCCTCGTCATTCCATTAACTGACAGTGTCATGTATATATGTGCTTATGACTCAGACTACCTTGATTTTACAGAAAGGCTGAGTCCTTGTTCTCTAACACCTAGCAGAGAACACTGTTTGTTGAACAGCCTTCCATATAGTTAGACTGTATCCTGAAATGTGTAATAAACACTGTAACAAATTTCCTCTTTACAAAGCTAAACAAAAAGCACTGTCCATCTCTCACTGGTTTCTTAGTTCAATATGCTTTAAGAGATGACTCAATGTTTCATTGTCCTTTCTAATCTCCATGGTATTTTTATTAATGCTCTGTTTGAAAAACTGTTACAGAATGTAAAATATTTCAACAGATAATCATTTCCCGTTACAATCAATTTTAACATTCTAAACCCAGTTTTCAAGCATACACTTTTAAGCAGTTTTCAGGTTGCACAAATAAGTATTGCCATGTCCTCGCTGGCTCGTGTCCTCTCCCTCCCCAACCCTGCTCATCAAAAAGCTGGAAAAAAAGCCTCGGTTTACAAAGCTGCTTAGTATTTATAGTTTTTGTCTGTAAAAGAGACACTCAGCACCTATGAAAACCAGAACCAAGTTACTTACGCTTGGCAAGTGCAATGGTTCCTGATACTGAGACAGTCTGCCAACGGATGGCAAGCCAAAAGATTTGTAGGGGTCCTGAAATAAAATTCAACATATGAAAGCATTAAACTTTTACACATGCAGAGAATGCAATATCAAAAAGCTTAAAGTCTAACAAAAACAACTGCTGGAGTAACTTTGTATTCTTCCCCAGAATTACTTGTGTTGAAGTACATTTCTTCATCCACCTAACCCCTGCGACTCCAAATAAAGAACTGGAAGTACGTTAATTCTCTCACACCACAGTCAAAGAGCAGGGAAGAAGTGCTCTGCACACGGCTACAGTACACCACCAAAACATAAAAAGATAACATTTTAATTTGCTACATTGTGCCCTGGAAGAAGGATGGAAAAGGATTCAGAAGGCTAGAGCTGAGAAGACAGTGTAAGGAAGAAAATTTCAGAGACAAAAAGGGCAGTTAGAAATTGAATTATCTTCAGAAATCAAAAGGATCTTAATGCCTTTGGACATCTCCTACATAATGTACTATCAATATAAACTTAATAGGATGGCATATAAATATGTGGCTTATAGAATAACCAAATTTGTGTCAAAGTAGGTGAATCCATTACTTAAGATTCCCTCACACTTAACTTGTGGTTTTTAAAATCCAAGACAAAAAGTCCAAGCATCAGTTACTCCTGGCAAAAGCCTACAACTCAGAACAGCTTCCATGCCAATCACAGGGCAAATATTTATTTTTTTAACAAAATAGTCCATATAACTTATTATTAGTTGAGCAATCTGACAGTAATGTGCATGTCATGAAGAGAAAGAAAAAAAAACAATATGAAGTAAGATGCTCCGAGTCACAAAAGCCACAACAGTTAGCTGAGGGGAAAAAAACATCTCAAGGTGCTAAATTATTTTTGAAAAGCAGTTACTTAAAACGTTCCCAAAAAATTGAAACTAGGCATGGTTTTTAATTAAGAAATCTTGATTGCCGTATGTCAATTGTGACATTAGTGAAAATCACTATCTCAAAAAGATGATACCGTAGAATGTCTTAAACATGCTTGAAAATGGAGTTTATATTTTAATAAGCTTTTTTAAGGTGAGATAGAGTAATGTCATAAGTATAAAGTTACTGTCTTTGAAGGCACTTTGAAAATTTATCCTATATACTGTATTTTCAGAATACATGTAAGTTCTTTTTCAACAACGTATTAAAATCTTCTAGCACAACAAAAAAGCCATTGAATTTCAATGGCCTTCTTAAGTCAACAAGTTTCGAGTACATGAACTAAGAGACCTGGAAACACTCTCGCACTACATCATTAAATGTGAACAGAAGATACAGCCAACATCCTCAGAAATTAACCTTACTTATCTCCTTTTATCACTTTTAATATTGATTTTCAGAAAAAAAAAGTGATTTTGAAATACGCAGTTATTTTTAAATACAAGATAAAAACTCTACAATTCTACAACAGCATTTGCGTTACACGCCCTAAATCACCACTTCCGTATGATAGTCCTTGACTTCACCTTGACATCCATCCACACTTGGGTATTATTACTCCACAATTCAACCACCCGCCCTCCTCCCCATTATCACTCATTTACCTCAGCATAAACTCGACATTCAACCGCCCAGCCATTGATGGGAATATCAGCCTGTTTGTGCCTGAGAGGGTAACCCTTAGCAACACGGATCATTTCTTGGACTAAGTCCAGGCCGGTAATGCATTCTGTGACGGGATGTTCAACCTGCAAGGTCAAGAACTGCCAGTCAGTAGGTAACAAAAACAATCCCCCCCAAAAAATATCCCTATCTGTAAACAAACACGACTAAACAAGAAATTACAACAGCCAAAGAACAAAGAATATGTTCCCATCTTAGTCTTTTTCCCCCGAAAAAATCTACTTGACAAACTCCAGCAATCATCTTCTTTGCAGGAAACCCCATAAAATAACATAATTAGCAGAATACAATACCCAGAAGCAGCATACAAAAGGAAGACTACAGAGAGCACCTAGGACGGTTTGGGGTTTTGCAAGATTAGGTTGAGTGTTGTGGTTTTGTTCATTTATTTTACAAATTCAAATGCACCTAGTGACGATGAGTTAATTTTTCTTTGTTCAGAAGCCTCTCCCATTCGGTTTCGCTTTGAAAAGGCTCACGCTGGAGCCATAAACGCATTTTAACTGAAAAACCTCAAAGTAGCTGATAATCAACCCATTCTGCTACACTTAACATGGCACGTACAGGAGCCGCTTACAATTTTCCATAGAACTAGCCTACCCTAAATCTCACCCATTCGCCTGCTTTCACTAACCTGTCCTGACAAGCAACCAGATTAGCGTAATCTTGCATCAGCGCAGTGTAGCAGAAATGAGCAGATGGATCCTTCCTTTTTTTTTTTTTTTTTTTTCTTTTCCCCCCTTGCCCAGACTTATCTGTTTAGTGCTTAGCATGCACAATAGCCAGGCTGGACCAGCGGAGTCGCTCTGCAGCTCTCAGCAAATTGCTGCTAACGGCTTGGGATGATGCTGCCATGGGAATACCCGTCGCTCGCACTCACCCCAGCATGTGCGTACAAGCATGTACGCGTGTGCGCTCAGATGCGCACACACATTCCCCCCTTGCCCAGACTTATCTGTTTAGTGCTTAGCATGCACAATAGCCAGGCTGGACCAGCGGAGTCGCTCTGCAGCTCTCAGCAAATTGCTGCTAACGGCTTGGGATGATGCTGCCATGGGAATACCCGTCGCTCGCACTCACCCCAGCATGTGCGTACAAGCATGTACGCGTGTGCGCTCAGATGCGCACACACACAGGCGCTTCCTCCTCCAAACAGGGACATAAACGGACACGTTGATTAATGTCAAAAATAAAAACTCCGACACCTTTAACTAGCCACAGGGCGGTAAAAAAGCACGCCAAAGACAGGAGGGCACACCGTGAAGTAAAACGCCAGGTGTGCTAAATGCGTGTTGTTCGCACCAAGACAGCCATAAGGCTTACCATGGCCGAAATTAGGACAGAACTGCCATTTTTCTTATCAAATGCTTATATTCCCAGGGCCAAAATACCTTAAGAAAACATACTTCACAGGAGTTTCTCTATCATGAGATGTCATACCACGTACATTTTGCGACACGGGAAAAGGTCAGTGACCAAACCACTTGTCTGTCTTCCATCAAGTACAGGAGCATTAAGGAAAACATTCAGTCATTATAATAATCTCATGGCTTATCAGAACGAGAAGATGCTTTGGTCTTTAAGAAAAAAAGCTTTGTAAAAATAAACAGATGGCACCCATAATTAGCCCTGTGTGTGCGCTGTGAGTTTGTTTAGAGTTTCAACAACATTTTAAGACGTTTTGACATAATTTTAATGACAAATCATCACTGAAACAAGCACCTATCCTTTGAAGGATAAAAGTGACATTGAAATAGGAATCTGATTATACAGTTTAAGGATGTACCTTTGGGATTCAATCGTGATTCTACCTAACACATGATGTTCTCCAGCATGTCAAGCTTAATAACAGTATTTGGAGAATCTATGAAACATCTTAGTGTCTATCCTGCAGTGTTAAATTGAAGCAATTCAATTTCTATTAAGACTTTAGGTTTCTATTAAAACTCCTGAAGTTTTAATAGAAAGTTACTTATCACATATTCATGTTAGGACAAGAGAATTACTCTCTTGTTTTAGAATTTAAGTCTTAAAAAATTGCCTTCGAGTTTAGAACACATCTGGAATCCTAATATTCCAGATAATTAAAATACAATTTTTTTATCTATTTCTTTTGACAAAGACATTTGCATTATTTAGTTATACTGTCATTTTTCTTGGATAGCAATTGGCATTCCAGATTCAATAGCTTCATTGTTGTTTTCAGCTTTATTGTTGATGATCAAAATAGGATGGAATGTTTCTGGAAAGAAAAATATTTTTGTTGTTTGGTTCTTACGACTCACAAACATTTACTTAATCCATTCTTCAGTACAGATCTTTGACTTAGTCAATATTTTCTTCTGTTTCTTCAAAATACTCCCTTTGTGTCTGCTCACAAAACAGCATTCAGAAAATATGATGAACATTTTTTGAGTTTTTTTCTGGGATGAGGAGAAGTTGTTCTGCTTTCTTTTAGGACTGTGATTTGACTAGTGTTGTTTAGGCATAATGTAGACAGTACCAATCATATCACTAATTCTGGGCTACCATTTAAAATGCATTTTAGTATACATCAAGGCCCTCAGATGCCCAAAATGAGGTAGTAAAAAACCATTTTAACCTTGAAATTCTAGTTTATTTGATGTATTTTTTACCTTTCAGTAAAGTGCACAGCTCAAACTACACTTGTTTTAGCATTTGCAGTTTTCTTTTGGCAAAGGAGGGCAGAAGGGGGTCAGTATTTTTAGCATTACACACAATATGCTTCAGCACACAGTATAAAAGGCAATAACAAAGCACTAAATGACATAATCCTGGTTCAACACACACTATGCAATGAGGTTTTAGAGGTGCAAGAATCCACACACAGGGAGGCACATGCAGGTTCTAAAATTAAAGCTCTAATCTTTGAGAAAGCAAGAAAGGAAAGGGGTTGGAAAAGCAAAGAAATCAAATCCCACTTCTACCTTCCTTCCCCAAACAAGCAAACAGGTATCACCATTCCCTGATTACGAAAGCTCTACACTTATCGTCACAGCTGTTTGACTAAGGTAACTGTTGTATCTATTTTTAAATCCTCATTAAAAGCTAGGCTTTAAACACTTTCCCCCTTTACTTCTAAACCATCTACTCCAGGTGTCACTCTTGTTTTGCCCGCCTGTAGTACCTTCTACTATTAATTTTCTGTTATACCTCTTCTCCGTCAACACCCTTTATTTCCTATTTATAGACACTACATCAAGTGCTCAATTTTTAAAGAGATGAATGCAAACATGCTCACAAACGGAGCTGGATCACACTTAGTTGATCAATTCTTTGAGCTCTGGGCCACACTCAATTTTGTAGTCAGCTGATCCAAGATCTTGCCAGGGAAGCCCCAGTCAATAAGGTAAGAACTAAAAATGGTATGGTTATATGACAGCAAATAAATTTACGCATTACCTCTGTCCTTAACATAAAGGGCAAAACCAGACATGTTTGCAGCAAGCAATCTACAGGTCACAGCTACATCAAGGCAGCTGTACCCTATTTTCCAGAGGACAAGCAGAAAAATCAGCAGTAACCCTCAATTAGTTAGCTGCCAAAAGTATTGTCTTCACTATCGGTTCCTTTACTTACATCAAGTCACAAGTCAATTTATAATAAGTCATCATATAAATGCACTGAAGTACAATACATACCCCCTTTAAAAAGTCTTACTTCCTCACTTTCTGTGATCCACACGCATCTCTTTCTCTGAAAAATGCCACTTAAAGTCCTGCTTTCAAGTCCACAAAGCCATAGTTGTTATGGTCAGTAACACCCATACAGGGTAAAGTGCTTCCCCTTCATACTGGATCTGCTCTTCTTCAGGTACCTAAAAGCAATCAGACTCCCTGCGAGCATCACAAGTGTTTTTGCTTCCTTAGCCTCTTTCAGCTTATACAACAAAAGACGTGAGTGGCAAAGCCTGTAAGAAAATAGTTAACTATGTCCATAATAACCAAGTCCCAGTCTACAGATGGTAAAGCAGGTACAAAAGAGCTTGAGGAACCCATCAAGATCACAGCCCAGTTAGCATCTGCCCCCAGAATAGATTCTGCTAATTCTCCTCCTGTTCTGTGACTGCCAACAATCTTAAAAGCTTTACCACACTGGGGTTCATCCACAGCTACAAAGAGAGTCATGCAGTTTTTATGAAGAGTTGGAGCTAAGAGTGAAATTAGCAATGACTGCTCCCCTTATATTCAGGGGAAATTGTTCCAGGACACATTTTTCTCAAGACCATCAAGGTGCTCAGATCTAACAGCAAACACTTCTGGATACTCTCACAGATTGCCCTCTTGCCCCTCTGTGCATAAAGCATCGAGTTACTCACACACCAGTTGGAGTATTCGAGCAGACCACAGTGACCAAAAAAATCTAAATTTCAGTAGAGTTAAAACTACAGCCTATGTCACCTCAACTCCTGTAAGTCCCTAGGCTGGTGTCATATACACCTTTACATTCAGATAAATAATCTCAAAACTAACTTTCAACACACACTTCAGTTTCCAGGAAACATGATTCACCTGGAGTCTCATGGGCATTTTTGCCGCAGCCAATCCAGTATCAACTGATCCAAACCCACCAATTTACAGATATTCCTCCAACCTCCTTTATTTCAGTAAGTCTGGTTTCTATTTCAGAGAACTGAACAGCAACAAAGGTGCACACATGTTCTGCTCTTCAGGCATGCCAGCTTCCCAACTGCTACGAGCAGGAGCACTCTGGGGTTACACCTCCTTTCTGTAAAACAGTTCACATGGATGTGGGGATTGGGAGCACACGGTAAAAACAGCAGCTTTTGAGAAAGGCTGCTGGAGAACTGACAAATGTTGGAATAATGTACAGAATGAATGGACAGCATGCAGGAAAACATAACCAGCAATCTCCTATATCGTCCTTCCCTATAGATATAGTACATAATGGAAGTTGCTGTTCATTTCCCTATTTACTAGTACACGGTCAAAGAACCGAGTGCAATCACAACTACAAAAATGTCCATCAACTAAGATGCTTAGGTAGACTTCTTTTATTATTTCTTAAGTAAGATGTTGCAGAA